AAAGCTTTGTACACTTAATGTATTATTATGTATGCATATTATTTTTACCCTGAAGGTATTATTTATTATAAAGGATTATTATTTTCACATTCTTTTATGCATAATTCAGATCATGTACTTAAAGAGGACATGGACTAATTCAAAAAGCTCAGAATATTTTCAGATACAACTTTTTAACAAGTATGCCCGTCTTCTGAAGTGGTCCTTTAAATTTGTGTAGATAGATTATGTTCTGTTGTCTGTAGGAGCTGTGTACATCAAAGCAGTTTATTATAAATACCTAAAGCAAAAGAAACGGTTTATTTAGAAAATAAAGTATAGAAATATGTTAACTGCTCCTATGTGATGTCAAAAGTGGAAAGAAGGTAGAAAATTCTTATTTTATGTGGGATACTATAAATACCTGGGTGTTTTCAAATAGTCACGTTTTTAGCACAGCATAGTCCAAGCATCTGGGCGTTTGAATTTTTCCCTTTCCAGCTGGTAATCTTGATATGTTATAGATGTAGGCAAAGCCTCAAAGTTAAATCATTTCCAAATGCTTTGAACAGCATTTAACTGGAAATAAAATTTCATTCAACATCACCCTCTCCACCTTCCTTTATGTGCAGTTACTTTCCATATCTGCAGTAGGTAGACAGGAGAGTGCCAAAAAAGAATCCTTCTCTTACTCCACAAATCAGTAGAAGGCCTGATGACTACATCCCCAGAACTTGGGTTTCAGACACACTATTCACTTGCCTCAATACAGTGCAAATAATTTTCCAGATTGAAGCATTGATCTATTTAAATCAAACTTCCTGCCTATTAATAGCTGTGAAATACTAGAAAATATTACTGGGCCAATAAAGCATTGTGTCTGCTCAAATCTTTTTAAAATGAGGCAAGACAAAAATACATACATACTTAAATACATATGTACATAACATTGCAGAATCTCCTTTAAAACTTTAAATAACAAAATCAGCCATCTAGATTTATGTGGAGATTAAAAAAGTGAACCAACTGAAAATCTAAGGAATCTTTGTATGCCAACATTCCATTTCCATACTTTCTTCTCCTTTTTTTTTTGAGACAGAGTCTTGCTCTGTTGCCCAGGCTGGAGTGCAGTGGCACAATGTCGGCCCACTGCAACCTCCGTTCCCCAGGTTCAAACAACTCTCACGCCTCAGCCACCCAAGTAGCTGGGATTCCAGGCATGTGCCACCTCACCCAGCTAATTTTTGTATTTTTGGTAGAGATGGGCTTTCACCATGTTGCCCAGGCTGGTCTCAAACTTCTGGCCTCAACTGATCCACCCCTCTCGGCCTCCCAAAGTCCTAGATTACAGGTATGAGTCACCACGTGCCCGCCCATACTTTCTTCCTACTTGCTTTATATTCACACTCTCCTTCATTGTCTTTTACTGATAGCAGCATTGTTTCCTGTTTATTTTTATGATAATTTTCTGCTTACCTCTGAGCACACCTCTGCCCTCCCTCCACCATCCCACCACCCTCCACACACAAATGATTGCAGATAGTTTGGGATTTGCAGTGCAAAGGAAATGAACACACATAATTTATTTATTTTTTTCCCTTGTTTCCTTCCTTCCTTCCTTCCTTCCTTCCTTCCTTCCTTCCTTCCTTCCTTCCTTCCTTCCTTCCTTCCTTCCTTCCTTCCCTTTTCCCTCCTTTCTCTCTCTTCTCTTTCTTTCTTTCTTTCTTTCTCTTTCCTTCTTTCTTTTAATATTGCACGGCCCATTCATCATTCTGTACAATTAGACAAATGAAAGGTATCTTTGTTTTGGCTTGATCTGTAATTCTTTTCAGATTCATTATGTGCATGGCAACCCAAAAAAAAACATGGTACTTTTGGGCAGCATCTGATTCATCAGGAAATTCCTCCTGCTATGATATGTGGTTGGGGAGAATGTGAGTGATGTGATCCAGATGCATGAGCTACCCATCGCCAGTAGTGCAGATGTGTTTTATACACACATGCCCAGATGGTGACCCCTGTGGCATTATTAATGAGTTCCAGATGCCAGGCTTCCTTCTTTCCATGTATGTGCCTCGATTTCACGTATTTCATGTGTTTGTTTATGAGGGACAGCATTCCTACATTTCACATATGGCAGTTACTATTTAAAATGAGAACTTTTAACTACTCTGGACATGGTTAAAGAATCTTTTAAATTGATATGAAATGTGTCTCTCATTTCAAAATGACTACCCATGCAATCATTGAATTCACAGAGCAAATTTCTGAACTTTCCCTTCATATATTAAGAAAATATGGTGCTGGCTTGCATTTTAAAGATAGTTAAGAAATAAAATATTTGCATACATAATACATTCAAATGATTTTTTGCTTTCTTTTCCTTTTTGATCTCCAAAGTCTATTTTTAAAAGTAACATGTCTGTGCATTGAATATTGTTATTCACTATTAATTAAATCTAGGCATCAAGAGAAATTTGACATCTTCTAGAAATTGTTCATACTTATAGATCTATAGGAAGAGAACTGGTTTTATTAAAATATAGTCCAGCTATAGCTCCAAACTATCATGGATTGTAACTCCATAGATTAGAAGAAATTGATTAGTCTTATATTTTGGTTTAGATCTAAAGTACAAAAATAAGAGCATAATAGTTCCACTGAGTTAAAATGAACCAACTCAAGTTTTTATTTTAAAAAACTCCAGGATTTTTATGGGGAAATGTAAAAATGAATCAAATTCTTAAAATAGATGACAAATGCAAATAACAGATGATCAGACTTTGAAAGATGAAGTTCATGTCCATTTCCTTCTTTAAAAGTTCACCAGAAGTGAACTTTTAAGTCAGCAAATGCATAATTTATGATAGAGAACTATCTCCAAAACCAGCTACAGAAAATAAATGACCAATATGCTGATGAGATTTTTGTTAAGGGGCTACATATTTTTTTTTAAGACAGGGTCTAACTCTGTCACCCAGTGCAGTGGCACGATCCCAACTCACTGCAGCCTCGACCTCAGGGGCTCAGGTGGTCCTCCCACCTTAGCCTCCTGAGTAGCTGGGACTACAGGCATGTACCACCATGCCTGGCTAATTTTTGTAGAGACAGGGTTTGGCCATGTTGCCCAGGCTGGTCTCAAGCTCCTGAGCTCAAGAAATCCATCCACCCCAGCCTCCCAAAGTGCTGGGATTACAGGCGTGAGCCACCACACCTGGCCATGGTGCTGCATACTTTTACTGTCAATAGCAGAGGGTCAAAGTTGCTGAATGCTTAAGTAAGCACATCTTGAGTCTTGGTTACTTAGCATGTGGTTTTGGGTCCTCTTAAAAACTATTCTACTTCCTTAAGTAAAGCTTGTTTTTCCTATGTATGTACGTGTATTTATGTCAGTTTCATAAAGGTGCTAACTCATTCATTTTCCACACCCACAAAGTAGGATGGAAAATTAAAGCAGTTATCTGATAAATGGAGGCAACAGTAAAGAGGTTTTTTTTTCCCCTGAAAGTATTCCTTGAAGTTAAAAAAAAAAAAAAATGTAAGTTATAGGATTTGCTCCCAAACTCCTCAGATACTGACCTCAGACTTGCTCCGTGTATGTTTTTGTTCAAGTGCATATCTATGATAGCAACTCTAGGGTTCTCTGAAAGAAGATTCAGAGCAATTCGAAGAAGACTGCAGATCATTTATGAGGATGAAGCCATCAAAGGAGAATGATGAGCCTGGGAAATGTCTTCTTATCTGACACTGAAAGAAGAATGGCTGTGGCCTTGCCTTTCTCATTTCTATCTTGAAGTCCTGTCCAAGAGCTTTGGTTATTGACCTTAGACTATTATCACCAAGACCTATTTAAAGGACCCAACAATATATCCATAGATCTTTTGTTCTAAGCCTCCCTTTTCTATTGCGAAGATTGAGAAGGTAAAGAAAACAAATGGCAGCAGCCTTTTTAATACTCAGGATGATGAATATGCGATAAGCAAGCTCTAACCACTCTTCCCACATTGCTGGCAGACTTCATTAACTGATCATAAGACTCTACCACTAAACCAGGATCCAGACTCAGAATCCTCAACAAAGCACTGCAGGCTGTCACTAAAACTTAGTTAACGTACACCCTTGAAACAAAAACCTCTTTGCCATTCCCCTTATATTCATTCTGAGCAAATAACAGGTGGTTAGTCTGAATGCGAGAAAACATAAAAGACCAAAGGATATTGCTATTGATTAAAGCTGTCTGCTTTTCCCAAGAGGGTTGACTAGCTGGTATTGGCCTGGTTTGAAAAGTAGGAGTGTAGCTATGGTAACCATATCACATCAGTGACCCAGAGACAGTTCACTCTGCCCTGCTCCCTGACCTATGGGAATGGCACCAGATTAAAGGACCCTCTGAAGGCTACTTGGACTCAGGTCAATGGCATAGGTCACCAAGGGTTTATGCACAAATGAACAGGAAACCTTGCAGAGTGCCCAGGGACTGCAGGCAGAAGACTTCCCAGGGGCTTCTCTGAAACTCTGACCTCCACTTCCTCCTTTGACATTGCTGTCACTTTCATATGAGCACATGACAGAAACAAAGTCCCTGGGCTCTGTGTAGTGCAGTATGGTTTTCAGAGTGCTTTCCATTCCTGATCTTGTTTGAACCCCGCCTCAGTCAGTGCAGGGAAGCAGTGCAAGCATCAGTACCCCCAATTATACAACTAAAGTGAGGCTCCGTTGTCCAAAATCACATCTCTGTGGAGGCCCCAAAGGCCTTTCATCTAAAATAGTCAGACGAAAGGAAGTGACAGAAGGCGGGGATTTTGGATTGTTTCCCATTGGAATTTTCAGATAATTGTGCCCGTACTTTCCATGGCCTGGCCTGTCTAAGGAAGCTTACAGTTTGATGGTGAAGCAGTTGCATGGTACAGACATGATGGTGAAGGTGGTTCTCCCAGAGATGCTTCGGACTCATTTAATAATGGAGATGCCATTCAGGCACTTGGTCATTGAAAGAGACTTTCTGTTCATTTCTATGACAGCTGGTGACCTTGTTGCAGATGTGGATTGTCCCCTTATATTTCACGATAAAACTATACTGGTGGCGGTTTCTGTCTATGTGGGGGATGTTCTCCGTTATTACCAGTTACATCCTCTTCAGAGCTACCCGAAAACCCCTCTCAGGAAGGACACCACGGTATGTATTCCATACATTCTCTCCCCAGGAGCCCCTTTATTTTAAATATTAAAAAGCATATTTTATAGCCATTTTCCTGGGTTGGGGAGTGGGGGCGTTACATTTCTTTTACTTGTCTTTTACCTTTGGTAGCAAAACTCTTGAGAAATTAGCTACACTGCTGTTAGTTTGCCTTCATTATTTAATGGCAATTCAGATATTCATGTAAAATTTATTACTTCAGATATTAGCTAGTGAAATGCAGAAGAAAGGGAAGTGAAACTATTGTTTAAAATTTCTAGAGGATTATTTGCAAGTTTATTTTTACCTCAGCATTTTGCTTTATTCCACTATACGTTGTGTCACACATTTTAAAATAAAGCAAGAGTTGAAAGTTGTGTTTCAACCTGAAAATATATGATAAATCATAAGTCATAGACAACTTATTACTCTAATAACAAATGATGCTTTAATATTCCAATGGTCACTTTAATGACCATTGTCAGCCTCCAAAGATGTGTATAACTCCATTGTATTGTTCACAAATCTTTCCGAAGTGCTTATCTTCACATACTGCGCCCTCAGGCTTGCTTTTGCCCTCCCTGTTCTGTGGGTAAAATCCAAAACCTCATCAAGATAAAACTGGAATGAGATAAAGTGTATAAAATGGAAAATAGTAATAAAACAATGCTAAATTTGACCTTTTGGGAGAATACATCATAAGCTCCAGTGAAATACTTCTATGATTATTTAGACATTTGTTTTCATCCTCTGAAAAAGTAGGAAACACGTATGTCAACTTTTCCTTCAAGTTAGGAGAAGGAAAAATACCCAGTGAGAAATCAGATAAATAAATGTGATGATAAAAATGGAAATCCAAATACATGAATTCACGTTATGAGTATTTTAGTTTAGTTCCACTAAACCAAAAAGGAAGAGGTCTGGGGTGCTGGTAGGAGACCTTATAAACTGGCCAATTTGGGGTCTCGGACAGCCCTTGTAGTGTCTGGCTTATCAATCAGTAAAGTGAACGTATCGTACCTTTCTCCTTCTTAGAAAACATTCTAAGTTATTTAAGATTTGTGAAAGTGCTCTGAGTTTGGGATGAATCAAAATGTGCTTGTTTTCATCCCCTGGATATAATCTATGTTGTATTTCTGTGAGAATGGTTTGCCTATCCAGTGTATAATGAATTACCCTACCTAAAGGCAGTGTTTTTGTGCACTTCAGTTCGTGCAATGCAGAGGAACTTTATTACAAGAAATACCCAAATGCTGCCTTATTACCCTTTATGGCTTGCATATGTCCACTCTCTTTCCCATGCCCAAAGCATGTCCTCTCAGCTTCTTCCTGCCTGCACAACTCCAAGCCCTAAAGGATAGTCTTAGAGTCAAGAGGCTCCACTGACATTACAAAGCAAACTCAGCTGCCATTTGAAGAGACATCAGTGAGCAAGGTGAAGTAGGGCCTCTTCTAGAAGAGCAGTCAGGATGGAGCTCCTGTACATAAGAGGCAATAGGCCCCAGAATTATCATGGATCTTTGCTTACTTATTGTATTACAGGTGAGTCACATTTTAACTATCTTCCGTTTGGAAGCAGAGGACTTCATTACAGGTGAGGGGAGCTGGGTGAAGAAATCAGCATTGCTGTAGAAGGCAGACCTGAGAGCAGTGGAGAGGAGTGCTGGAGAGCACCAGCATTTCAAAGCCTACTGTTCCTCTTTGAGAGCACATCAAGCTGTTGTTTCAGGATAGGGTGCCCAGAGAAGGGGAAGTGAATTTCCTCTCAACTACAGTTGGTTTGTCTGGCAAGCAGTGCAGTTCAGAGTCAGAAATAAGCCACACATGTGGTGGCTCATGCCTGTAATCCCAGCACTTTGGGAGGCCGAAGTGGGTGGATCGCCTGAGGTCAGGAGTTTGAGACCAGCCTAGCCAAGATGGTGAAGTCCTGTCTCGACTAAAAATACAAAAATTAGCCAGGTGTGGTGGCAGGTGCTTGTAATCCCAGCTACTCAGGAGGCTGAGGCAGGAGAATCACTTGAACCCAGAGGCAGAGGCTGCAGTGAGCCAGGATCACGCCATTGCACTCCAGCCTGGGCAACAGAGCAAGACTCTACCTCAAATACACACACACACACACACACACACAAACACACACACACACAAACACTAGCCACAGAGAGCTGGGCTTGATCACATCAAATCCAACCCAAGACCAAGCTTTCCTTTTGGAGGCTGCTCTGAAGCAGTTACACAATCTCCTATCTGGCTTATCTGCCTTACAGTGTAAGTCTGGGTAGCGAGGAAGTTCTGGACTCTACTGTTCCTGAAAATAGGTTCCCCAAATAAGCATGAAAATGGCAGGAGAAGGGGGGCTTGAGATTTGGAAAATCGAACACATCCATAACAGTGATATGACATATTGAGCATTTAGTGTGCCGAGTCAATAAACATCAATACATTAGCTCACACAATCTTCACAACAACTGTAGGAGCTAGTGTTATCATCCTCACGTTATAAATTAGACAATCATAGGAAGGAATGCCAAGTAAATTGACCAAAGTCCCATGGGCAGTAAGCAGCAAAGCCCTGGATCAGACCAAAGAACTACTTGGCTGCAAAGCTCCTGCTCCCAAAAGCATGCTATGACTTCATCAACTCAACAAACCGCTTTGCACAGAGAAACCCTGCCGTTTAAAGGTTATTAGTCCTAGAACATCTCCAATGCTGGCAGAAGTTCGAAAGCGGCCCCTTCAGGCAGGGGGATGGGTCACCAGTGTGTGTGGAGTTCAAGGAACCATATTCTGGTACTGGCAGGTGTTGGGGGCCCAGTAGAGGGGACCTTCTCAGAGCTTGCCTGTTTCTCCATCATCACCACTTTTAGCAACATAAACTTCTGCCTTGATCTGGCTGCTCTGAGCAATGATCTAAGCTGCTCAGGACTGACAAATGAAAAGAACCCATGGCTTGAGAGTCACTGTGGTAGAAAGACCCCAAAAGCCTTCTCTGGCTTCCTTTTGAGGCCACACAACCTCACAGTAATTTGAGCAAACTTCTGCAGCCCATGCAAGTTTCTGTCTCCACATAGCTCACCCCTGCCCACTCCCCCATGCAGCTCACCCCTGCCCGCTCCCCCATGTAGCTCACCCCTGCCCGCTCCCCCAGGTAGCTCACCCCTGCCCGCTCCCCCAGGTAGCTCACCCCTGCCCGCTCCCCCACGTAGTTCACCCCTGCCCGCTCCCCCACGTAGCTCATCCCTGCCCGCTCCCCCACGTAGCTCACCCCTGCCCACTCCCCCATGTAGTTCACCCCTGCCCGCTCCCCCACGTAGCTCACCCCTGCCTGCTCCCCCATGTAGCTCACCCCTGCCTACTCCCCCCCCCCGGGCAGGATCACACCTGGTGGAGGAGGTGGCAGCACAGACTGTCCTTGAATATCAGTTGCTTGAAGTGCAGAAGGCATTTCACCATAGAAGTGATGTATATGACAACTCATTTCATGGGCTAGCCCAAAACCCATTTAAACCATAATGTTTAGAAGGTCCCTTCTGTCTGGAACTCAGTGAAATAGAGCACCTATTAAAATCATATTGAAACCTTACGCTAGTAATATCGTAGATATTAAGCATTTGGTACAGTGGCTCCAACAGGGAGTGAGCTGGGGAAGGTGAGAGAGTCAGAGACGGGGCTCGGGGCTTGGGGGTGAGAGGGTGGGACTAAATCTCTAGAAAGAGATTCTGAATGCAGTTTGGGGTGAAAGGCAGGAAAGAGACTCCAAGAGGATGTGCAGGGAAAGGGTTGTGAGGCAAACAGGACCTTCTGCCATTGCACACCCTTGTAAGCAGCATTCCAGCCACCTCTTCATTTTCTTTGAGCAACAAAGATAAGCCCCCAGCTTTTCCATCCACCACCTCTTGTACCAGTGGGCATAGCCCCTCTGCTGTGGCCCTCCAAGAATGGAACTGGGCTCCCAACCTCTTCCCCCATCTTCCTAGACATGAAGCTGTCACGTGGTCCTTCTTGTAGTTTTTTTCTAAGGGCCTTTACTGCCGGTGAAGAAGGAAACCAGCAGAGGGGAGGGCTTCCTTCTTTCCTTCTATATTCTCTTCAATCACCCTCCATCCTTATCCTTTTCCTTCTCCACTTAGACCCTTTGGGAACAAGGAAAGGCCTTAGAAGGTCACAGAGGGTGTTGGGGTACACACAGGACACTTCCACACAGCAGAAGGAAGTAGCCTGGGGTACTCGTCATTTCATCCCCTGGGCTAGGGGAGGGCTCTTTGGGTGGAGGGGAAATGGGATGAGGGCTGGGCCCACTACTGGTGATATCTGCACTGGGGCTGGGGGAAAAGGGGCAACGGAACAAGAGGGAAGAAAAACTCCTGGGGAAGAAGGTCTGGACTTCCCTTTGACTTCTCATCCCACTTTTTGTTCACCTCCAAGGCACTCCTGCTGAAACCACTCAAGCTTAACCCTAGGACCAAATGAGAAGGGGGTGGTGTGGGGAGGCAGGGTCCCAGGAAAAGTAACCTTTCCTGAAGGCTATTTTTAAGTGAAGCATCTGAGGGATGTAGACAAACTTAAAAAGAATTCACATATGCATATACACAGAAACACATAAGCATGATAGTTCTATTCATATAATGCTTATTGTTATACATATCTGTTCTGTGTGTTATAAATATAATTTTAGAAACTAAAAGCTGCTTTATAAGTCTTTGAAAAAGACAAAATATTTTCTAATAATACCACGTTCTGTGTTTCTCCCCATTTTTCACTCCACAGGTTGGTCTACAAATGGTTTCTTTTGATCTACAAACTCAGCTATGCATTTGGTGTTGTGGGTTACTTGGCGATCATGTTTACAATGTGTGGATTCAATCTGTTTTTCAAGTAAGTATCTCCAATTAAGACATTAATATCTCCAAGCACTTGCGTGGCACACTCACCTGGTCATGTTCTCTTAATCCGGAAGCATCTGGCCCTACAATTTTCCATGCACACATGTTTTATAGTACATATCCACACATAGTCTTGTCTGGGGAAAACCAATAGAAAGGGAAGAAAGAAGCACCCTACAAAATAATTTTTTAAAATTAGGAGCTTTAAGGAGAATTTATATTTGGTCTGCAAATTTAAAAGATTACTATTAAGAGTGGACCTACAATTGTGCTAGAGTAATTCTTACTAAACTAATTTCTCTTCTACGAAATTCTCAAGTACCTAGATCTCCTTTTATATATATCTTCTTATCTAAAACCTCTAGAATTATGTTGTCCAATATAGTAGCCATTAGCTTATGTGACTAATGAACACCTAAAATATGAAATAAGATGTACTCTAAGTGTAAAATACATACTGAATTTCAAAGACTTACATAAAAAACATTTTTATATCAATTACATTTTGAAATGATAGAATTTAAATGTATCAGTGAGATTAATTTCACCTGTTTTTTTTTGTTGTTGTTGTTGTTTGACATATTAAATGCACCTACAGAAAATTTAAAATTTTATTTGTGACTGTATTTCCATTGGACAGTACTGCTCTCTTGAATTTGGTTTCTGATAGTCATGAAATGCCTTGTGTTGGGGATACTTGGAAAAGGAGGAAAAGTGAATGCTTAGAAATCGCAAGAGGCTGGGTGCCGTGGCTCGTGCCTGTAATCCCAGCTACTTGGGAGGCAGAGGTGGGAGGATTGCTTGAGGCCAGGAGTTCAAGACCAGCCTGGGCAACATGGCCAGACCTTGTCTCAAAAATAATTTTAATTGGAAAAAAATATAAGCTGGGAAACCAAATAAACAAATAAAAAAGATTTGAAGGATAGAAAACATGTCAATATCTATTGTTTAATAGATGGGGAGTTTTTAAAAAGAAATTGAAAGAGAAGTAAAGGTATAAAAGAGCAAGAAAGTCTAGGGAGAGATAAAGGAAGTTGGGATAACCACATCTTTGACTAGAGCTGTGCTCCCACTTAAGGTGGTTGCTGAGACATGCTGTGGATGGCATTCTCAGGGGCACAACTGAGGCTGAGTAACCAGCCTGTGTCCTGGAAAGGGGATTGAAGACATACCACACTATGGTATGCAAAGCATACCTATGGAAAGCAGCTCAAATACAAATCCCCCAGAATAGCTCTCACATCAAAATTACTCTAAACTTCTGGGACCATAACAGAAATCGAAAAGGAGAGATCATCAATCCTTTACTCAGAAAATAGGGAAGGTAGTTGGAGGGAGAGTCAGCCCTGGGTGAAAGGGCTCTTCCTAGGGCAGTGTAGCAATCTGATTTTATAAGCATTTCACAAAACTTTCAGAGCGGGAGCATCTAACATTTTCTAGCAGAAAAGGGGTAGAAAGTAATTGTACAGATCTATTATTGCTAGGCTAGGATATAGAAAGACACTGTAATATCTTTTATAACATACTCTCTATACTGGTTTATTTTAGTGAACATAAAAATACTCATAAGAATTTTTTTGAAATCACTAGGAACGATAGCTGTTCCAAGACTATTACCTCATAAGATTTCAAGATCCTCATTCATGAATTTTCCTACAGTAAGGCATACCAAAAACTTAACCCTTCAGAAAATTAACTATTTTGTTTTCACTACTTGATGGTTATCATTGTATTATGCTTTTTTCCTAGGGCCACAAGTGTGTTACTGTACTTTTTATCAATAAAATTATAAATACATATTTCCCTGGACATGGAGGGAAGATACTCTTCATTTCCCCCACTGTCCTAATTGTCAGATATACCCAGACAAATCCTGAAAGGATGAAGCTACCACATGTGTTGGAAGCCTTAGTTCATATCACCCAAAAATCTGTACCTTCTAAATCTACAAAGCTGTCTGCCTTCACCATTTCTTCCTGCAATGAACAGAAAACAGAAATAGGTTTTAGAGACAGACTACCCAACTCTTGTCCACACTTGCCTCCCTTCCCTGAATCAATCAGAACCACCAAGGCTCACTGCTGGTATTTGAGATTGTTTTATAGATAGAGCAAAACAAATGTGCAATTATTTAGATTCACAAATTAAATTTAGGGCACATTATTCACTTTTAAAAGAGATCTTTCCATTAAGAGAAAAAAAAAACTGGGTGGGGGGATGATCACAAAGAATCCTGGTATAATTGAAATGTGATTTAACTTGCAAAAAGTTTTTTTCAGTTAGTACATAGCAACTCTGGCATGGTAGTCAAGGGCTTCAAGATATGAGCTTGATTTGTGGTTTTGTGATGTACCACTTGTTGTGTCAAGCAAATCATGTTTTCTAAGTCTCCATGTTTTCACATGCAAAGTGGGGGTGATAATATCTATCTCAAGCACTTATTAGGAAAGATACTTGGAAAGCATTTTACAAAAATCTAAGTTATACAGCAGACATACTCAATCCTTGCTGTATTAAAGAATCAATCACTGACAAGCTGTTCAAAAATAAGACCCCAACCCAGATCAACTAAACTCCAGTCCTTGGTGGTGGGCCCATGTGTCGATGCGCTTTTAAATTTTCCCGGGTGATTCTAATCTATGTTTAGGGCTGAGAACTATTGCTCTAGTGCTTTTTAATGTTATCTACCCATTGGAGTTACCTGGGGTGTGGCCTGGAGATGGAAACTGTTACAAGCTGCTGAGGCCTACCTATAGCTGAGCCTGAAACCACTGGTCAGAGTCAGCTTGTCTAGGCACTGCAGTCCTAAGAAGCGCTTGAAGGCTGTCTCAAGAATTCCTATGTCCAGTTGGCACTGAGTGCTACAATTTGAGGGAAATTTAGAGAATTTTAAATTATTTCATTTAAAAAAAGAAAAATCAAACAAAACAATGAAAAAAAAATACTCACAAGGTTCTCTTAGATACTATCAACAGGAAATATTTTCCAAACTCCAGCTGTTTTGAAATATGCCACATTCTTATTTCCTTATACTGTTGTTTTCAACAGAATCAAAGCTAGAGATTCCATGGATTTTGGCATTGTGTCTTTGTTCTACGGCCTCTACTATGGAGTAATGGGGAGAGACTTTGCCGAGATCTGCTCAGACTACATGGCTTCCACTATAGGGGTAAGTGTTGCTTTCATTTTCTGAAACCATTTGTGACACATGGAGAAATGGTCTCATCTTACATGTCGTATCCATTTTCAGAAATAAATAAGTCTTTCTCCATATACTGATTACCGTTTCCTTTGGAACTATTTTAGTTCACTTAGCCCAGTTGTTCCCTGAATTCTCCTTGCATCAAAACATTGTCTCTGTTAATTAATTGGAAAATACATGTCTTATGTATATAGGATACTTGTGGAATAAGGCATCTTTTAAAATAAAATATGCAAATTATTTGTGTTATTGTATCTAGCACACTCCAATTGCCAACATTTAAGGATTAGTAAAACATTAACAATAACTAAAACCTTTTAGCTCTGTCTGAAATACTGTCTAATGCAAATAAAAACTATATTTGATGCTGCATAAAACAGTTCAGAATCAACAGTGCCTCTGGGTAATACTTATAAATACAAGTTACATTATATAGCATAGAAGTACAAGATATAAAAAGTGTGCTAGATGTATTCTGACTCTATACTATTACCTAGAATTTTTTTAATCCCTAACAGTTGTTTTTCTTTTCTTTTTTTGAACTCTTTTAAGATTAAACTTCAGAATGGACATACCTTCTAGTTAGATGTATTCCTGATTCAGATATCAAGGGCATTTATCTGTGTCTGACTCATGCATATCTCCTAAAAACTTACAAACTAAGAGCTCTAGGGATGACTTAGTAGTTTCAAGAATTCCACATCTCTGTCCTCTATGTATGTCTCCTGGTACACAGCCAGATGTGAAGTAGAAAATGAGTGTAAAGCAAAGACGAAACAACCCAAATGCCCATCAATGATAGACTGGATAAAGAAAGTGTGGTACATATACACCATGGAATACTATGCAGCCATAAAAAGGAATGAGAGCATGTCCTTTGCAAGGACATGGATGGAGCTAGAAGCCATTATCCTCAGCAAACTAACACAGGACCAGAAAACCAAACACTGCCTGTTCTCACGTGTACATGGGAGCTGAACAATGAGAACAGATGGACACAGGGAGGGGAACAACACACACTGAGGCCTCTCAGGGGAGCGGGAGGGAGAGCATCAGGAAAAACAGCTAAGGCATGTGGGTCTTAATACCTAGCTGATGGATTGATAGGTGCAGCAAACCACCATGGCACACATTTGCCTATGCAACAAACCTGCACATGTATCCTAGAACTTTAAATTAAATTAAATTTTTTTAAAAAAAGAAAAAAAACGTAAGTAGTAAGAAAAGGGTGAACTTTTAGTGTTCCGTCCATTTCTGGAGCAGAACCTAAGTGGCTATGACCTTGACTTCCTCCCCACCGCATTTGTCCTTCCCCTCCACCATAGGCTCTGTCTTACTCTTTTCCTAAAGCCTGCAACCCAAATTCTGTGGTGAAATGCTGGAACAATACAACTGCCTTTCTTATAAGGTTTAATGTGAGCACAGGAAGGAGCATTTTAATTCCCAGTTTCTCCAACAAAAAACAGAAGTTATACTCCTTGGAAAATTCCCAAAGCCTCTTGTGTTTATGGACAGAAAAGGAAGATTAGAATTATATGTGGCTGTTCTCAAGTGGACCAGGAAGAAGAGACTTTACCTGGCAAGACAACCAAGTCTGTAAGCACCAGCTTTTGGGAAACTTCTCACCTGATCCAACCCGACCAGTTCTTAACATCTTGTCATCCTGTCTGTTTATTCCAGCTACCACATCTACAAAAACCACTGCCTCAAGCCATGGGTACGGCCACCAGTGACTTGGATTAATGAGGGATTGTGTGTGTGTGTGTGTGTGTGTGTGCACGCTTGTGTGTCCACAGACACTTGCGCATGTTCTTGTGACTGAGGTAAGGAGATACAATCTCCATTCCCATATCAGTGCCTAAGCCCCACACCAGAGCAAGTAAGTCAGAATCTCTGGGAGTAGAACCAGTACATCTGCTTCCAAAAAAAAAAAAAAAAAGTCCTTAGGAAAAGGAATGAGCTATTAAGCCATCCAAACCATGAGGTGAATCTTAAACGCATGTTGCTGAGTGAGAGAAGCCAGTCTGAAAAGGCTCCGTCCTGTGTGACTGCATCCTGTACAACTGCATCCTATATGACATTTTAGAAAAGGCGCAACTATAGAGTTGCTGAACAGATCCGTGGTTGCCGAGGCTTTAGGGAAGGAGCATGGTTGAATAGGTGAAGCACAGGAAATTTAGAGTGGTGAAACTCTTCTGTGTGATACGATAATGGTGGATACATAACAACTATACATTTGTCAAATGTAGAAAGTGTGAACCTTAAATTTATGAAAATTTAAAAAATAATTTAGGAAGTCAGAGAATCCAAGGATAGAATTCAGATCATGCCAAAAGAATCTAACCATATTAAAAATGTGTGAAATAACCTCATTGAAAGGGGTGGGAAAAAAAGGTGCTGACCTAAGTAACTTTGAAATGAATGGAGATCATAAGACTAAAAACAAAAGAAACTGTGTCATAAGCACTGTACTCTAGTTGATAAAGTTGTTGCTGACAAGGCTATGGGTTAACAATTTTGATACCACCATACATGTATTCTGTAGTTGTAATTGTTTAGCTTAATATAGATATACATGGATACATATAGAAATATTTACAGATATATGTGTGTGTGTGTATCTGTGTGTGTGTGTGTGTGTGTGTATGTGTGTTAGTATGTACAGATGAATTCCTTGCTCTGTCAGCTAAGAGGTCCTAGGGACAATGACACCTCAGCAACAGTGAACATACAGAGTGTCCAGATCTTGTTTTCTAATACCATTTTACAATAAAAGGAACTGGGGCTCCTTGAAGAAATGGCTGATTATAAGTCTGAGCGAAGAATACACAATATAAGCCTGGAGCGTCTCATAGTGACCAAAAGCAAGAAAATGCTAAAAACAAAACAAAAGAACTCCACAGTGATTGGGGATATATCAAAGAGACACAGGGGCCAACTGAAAGAGCTCCCAATGGCCAAAGCTGGAATTTGAGCAACAAAATAGTAATAGTAGTAGTATTGGGTTATAACCCAAAGCATAAAATAAATATCCATGAGTCCACATTGATATCAATAAATGACTGAATAAATAAATAAGTGGAAGAGAATAGTCAAATCTGTGCAGAAGAATTCCATATAATTTATATAAATTCTCCTCCCTTAAAGAGGTTGTGATGATTAAATTTTAGAGTCAATTTGCCTATGCTATGATACTCATTTGTTTGGTAAAATCACTAGTCTAGATGTTGATGCAAAGATATTTTGCAGATATGATTAATATCTGTAATCAATTGACTTTACATGAAGGAGATTACCCTTAATATTCCACATAGACCTCAGCCAATCAGTCAAAGGCCTTAAAAGCAAAAACTGAGGCTTCCTAGAGAAAAAGAAATTCTGCCTCGAGACTGCAACATCAATCTTGCCAGAGTTTCCAACCTGCTGGCCTGCCAACCTGCCCTGCAAATTTCTGACTTGCCCACAAATGTGTGGGCCAATTCCTTAAAATCAATCTAATAATAATATAGGGAAACTAGATATGTGGTATATAGCCAATCTCTGTACTATTTTTGTATCTTTTCTTTAAACCTAAAACTATTATAAAATAATTTTCTTTGGGGAAAAAAAAAAAAAGCTTCTTAGGGATTCTAATATGCTGCCAATATTGAGAACCACTCCTTATCCACAGTACAGGAAGATGCAGATATCCCAAGGTGAAGTTCTAAATGCATTGCCTTCCAATGGTGATTACTCAGCATGCATCCAATTAAAACATGGGGATTTAAATGACAGAGAGATGCCTAGGTTTACTCCAGAGATCTGAGTCAGAATCTCCAGGATAATAAAGGGAAGGGCCAATCTATGGATTAACTCAAAGGCTTCCTCTGAAGCTTCCTCTTAACTCCAGCCCTGGATAAAAATGATTCCTGTGAAAGGATTCCTCAATGTGGAGGTTAGATGAGAGGTTATAATTGGCCATGTGCTTTGGGTCCATTTGGAATTCAATGGGTTTTTGCCTGGAAACCTTAACCCCTCTGTAGCATTCTTCTTACAGGAAATGGTGTTTCACATTCTAAACCATCTTAGAAGCAGTGGAGATTCTTTTTTTTTTTTTTTTTTTTTATGGAGTGTTGCTCTGCCACCCAGTCTAGAGTGCAGTGGTGCAATCTCGGCTTACTGCAACCTCCGCCTCCTGGGTTCAACCAATTCTCCTGACTCAGCCTCCCGAGTAGCTGGGATTACAGGTGCCCACCACTGCACCTAGCTAATTTTTTTGTATTTTTAGTAGAGAGAGGGTTTCACCATGTTGGCCAGGCTGGTCTCGAACTCCTGGCCTTGTGATCTACCTGCCTCAGCCTCCCAAAGTGCTGGGATTACAGGCATGGGCCACCATGCCTGGCCACAGTGGAGATTCTATGTGCAAAGGGCTGCCTGTCCCAGTGCCTGGCATTCAGAGAGTGGCATGTGCTCTCCTTTCCGACTGTGCTCTGTCCATTTCCTCTGATAGTTCTACAGTGTCAGCGGGTTGCCTACAAGGAGCTTATCAGACAATATCTGTGCAGTCTGTGGGCAGAAGATCATTGTGGAGCTTGATGAAGAAGGGCTCATTGAGAACACCTACCAGCTTTCCTGTAATCATGTGTATCCTTTTCAAAGGAAATCGTTTGGCCTTCACCAACCCTCCTTCTTTCCTCCTTCTCTTCCTCCTGTCCCCATCTCCTCCATCTTGCTTACCTTCCATGCCCAAACCCCAATCCTTTATCCTCCCACCCGGTCTTTCTTTTTGGGTCTTTCTGCTGAATAATGAACTGCCAATTAAGGTGAACCTCCTCCTCCTCCAGTAATTTCCTTTTTAAAGAGGACTGTTAATGCCACATAGACAGGAAGGCGGTATCTGAGCAGGGTGCTAGCGGGGGAAATTGGTTGAAGTCATAAGTAAGCAGATAGCCAAGAAAGATCAGGGAAAGAAGGGGTTTGGAGGTGAGAAAAAGAGTGAAGTATCAGGTGCAGGGGGGATCTTAAGACTATCCAAGTGGAGCCCCAGGTCTGAATCTTAGCAGACCAAGAAATACAAAGAGTGCTTTGCCTAGAAATAATCCTAGGAACCTACCTGTGGCAACAGTAGTCTTGGGGACAGCCAAGGGAGGAAACCAAGCCTTCTTCTCAGCTTCAGTCTTTAGAAGAAGATACAGCCACAGTCAGCAAGACACCTTGGATTACAAAAGCAGGGACCAAAATTTGGACATTTGTTCTTGGACCATTGGGCTCCTTTACCAAAGGGTTCTATCCCAAATAGCTATCCATTGGCTGAGGGATCTTCATATAATAGGAACCAGATGGCCTGGGCTTGGAAACCAGCATTCTATGGGGACTCCAGTAACCATTAAGGAAAACCGCAATGTGCTGAAAAATGCTGGCATCGAGACCCCTGAACAAATCAACCTGTGTTGCCTGAACATGTATGGATACTACTTTTGCTATGGATACCAAAGTTAGGCGTAGGTTGGCCAATCACCAGTATTTTAATTCTTCCTAAATACAAAAAAGGGCATCATTTATCTTTATTTTATAGTACAGTATCAATTTAATAATGTCCTCACTATGTAGCCAGTTAGTTCAAAGCTCTGGCATTATGAGATGGTTAAACCATCTGTCTTTTGCCTAAATCTCACTTAATTTAGTCACTCATACCTCAGTGTCCAGTACCTATGATTCAATTCTGTTTAATCTGGACAGTTTCCACTTATTCAATCCTGAGAGTAAAACCTGGACCAAATGCATCTCAAAAGTAATAGGAGCCTTTACTCCAACACATAAGACTTAAAATCTTAAGGGAAGAAACACGAAGATACCCCTTTGTGGATTTCTGTAGTGTTTTTTTCAGTGTGATACCTTTCCCAAAAAACTCATTCTTTGTAGCAATTTTCCAAGTCTGGCCCTAGTTTTAAATATGATTTATTTTTCAAATGTTGGAACAGAGCCCCTTCTGCCATTTGCAAATGGAAATATTTTCTCTCTCCACCTTTAAAAGCCCTTAGGGATTGTTGTACATGTATGCATATATAATCTAAAATGTAGTCACCTTTAAATTTGCTTTTCAGGGAGTATTATTAATGGCCCATTTTAGCATGAGTCATATTAGTGAGAAAATGGGCAAATATGAGTCATATTAACAAGGATGGGTTATCTGAGTCTTGCTCTGCAGCAGTTCTGCCAGTGTGGAAGTTTTTCAGCATTGAGATTTTGAAAATGAAAAAGAACATTAGAGAGAATGTGGACATTTCAGTGCTGGCTCAGTGGCTCCTGAATTCTGTACCTCTGTGGAAGATGGAGCTGTATTCCAGCCCTTTTGAATGAAAGGTTGTTTGAGTTTTGGTTCAAAATCTTTGTTATAATACACCACTTTATTTTAAAGCATATTGCAAAAATGACCCCAATCCCAAGAACAAAATAATGGAAACTCCTGGTTACACTGAAATTTAATACTGAGGAGTTATATACATGGCCTTGACTTGCTACACCTCCAAGCTCCTCCATTTGTTAGGGAGGGAACTTCTACATCGTTGCTGTTCACCTGGGTGTGTAGCAGGCCAGTCAGATCATGTGATCTTGGTCCAGAAAGTCACATGGGGAGCAGCAATTGTAGAAATAAACAAATCAATAGGATGGATTTCATTATAGTTCATTTTGCCCAAATCCATAGTATCAGGGAACATGGAAATATATATTTCCAAAAATAATCAGTTTTGAAGGAGTCATTCAAATGTTCATTCAATAAATATTTCTTAGGCATGGCTTAAGGTGCTGAGGACACTGAAATGAATGAGACAGAGTCCTACAAGTAACACATGGTCTAGGATAAACATGTAAGTGCCAAAAGTCGTGCCACACTAGAGTAAGTCCCTGGTGCTGTGAGAACACTTGGGGTCACTCTCAAGTTTGGGGACAAAGGGTCAGACTTTCTGGACCAGGAGATGTATACAAATGGATCTGTAAATGCCTAGAGTTTGAGAAGTTAAGTTTAGTAGGCATATATTCTATTAAAAATAATTGGCTCCTTATTAGTACTTTTAAAAGTCAAGAAAAAAATTATGAAGTTAATAGAAATATTTGTAACTTTATGACCACAAATAATTTTAACTTATCTAACTGTCTAAGACAAGTCTGATTACATGAAGCTAATGAATAATGCACAAAAAGTAGAATGGAGAAATGCTTCAGTAAATGCATGAGAAATGCACAGTAACAGGTGGGGAAATACAACAATACACTTATGGAAGACATCACTGTAAAGGGAAAAAAAAAAAAGGACTCACATTCTTTATCTAATCTAATTCTTACCAGAATCAAGTGAGGCAAGAAGGCCAAGAAGCTAAGTAAATTCCTCAGGGTCATAAAGCGAATGCCGCTGTGACTCCAAGCTCACTGTCATTGTCAGGTCCCTTACAGAACCTCCCGAAAAAAGCGACGTGCCTCATCAAGTCTTGACTCCACCACTAGACCCCGAAGATGGGACCATTTCATACCATCATGAACCAGACATTGCTTTTTCATATCTAGAAGCCTCCCTAACAAGATGCTTCAGCTTTCATGAATTCTGCATCCGAGGTTGGTGTATTGTTGGGAAAAAGCAGACTTGCCCTTACTGCAAAGAGAAGGTTGATTTGAAGAGGATGATCAGTAATCCATATCCTTTAAAACAAAAAGGTTATAAGAGATTATCTTGAATGTTTCTGGGGATATGTTCTTCAATGAAAACTTTCAGTGTTTTTGTATAGTTCTAGTAGAAAATTTTCTGTTTTCCCTAACCATCTATTTCAAAATGATTTATGGTCTCTTTTCTCCTCTGTGCCTATATTACTATTCTGGTTAGAAAATTAAATGCCAGAAAACATTCCACTCTTTATGTTCTATATTTTCCACATTAAGGGCTGTAGTGGAAATGTGATGAGACATTGCATCACATTTGATGGATGAATAAATGGGTGAATTGGATGGGTGGGTGGATAGGTGCATAAATAGAAAAATTGGAATTGAAATTTTAAAAGCTGAAATGTGAACTAGAGTACAGAAAACTATTTTTTAAATATGTTAGGGTGTACCAAATTTTATTATTCCCAGAAATGAGTAGTTATTTCCCCGTCTGGATTTTGGCTTTTTAAATTCCATGCCATGCATCATCTCTTCTTAGGCCAAACACTAGTGATAACAATATTGAAAAGAAATAAAGATCTACAGAGTTGGTCAGCTTCTGGCAGCAGCTGAGATTGGTATAGACGTCAGAGATGCACAGCAGAATAAAGTCAAGTCACATTAAGGTCACGGGAAGGTAATGGCCCCCATCTGGCGCTAACTAGAAAGACTTAGTCTTCAACCTCACTATCTCAAGACCATAGTATATCTTGTTCAGGAAGCGGGGTGGGAATGGAATTAAAACATATCCTCCCTTAAGCAGAAGAGCCCTGAGAGGTTGGCATCAACCTGCCAAGTACTATCTCTTCTCTAAGAGACAGCCTTTCTGTACTTTCTAAGTAACAGTCAGCTAAATTTTACTATGCTAAAGGAATCACCTTCCTTGCTCTCTGCTCCCCTGTTCCTCACCAACCCTACACATATGGTTTAACAGTGGCTACTGGCAGCAATGCCCACATCTCTGGGCAATGCAGATCAGGGAGGGATTCAAGGAGGGCATCAGAGAAGGAGGCAGCATCAGTGGATCTTTGGGTCTCAAGGCCCATACCATTGCAAGAGACCACGCTCTGCAGTGCCCACTCCATCCACAGACCTGGCCTTTCTTGGTGAGTCAGTGCTACTCAAGCACAACTCAAGGCTAAAGGTGTGTGATGATCCTTCCACCTTCCTGTTCATCCACTGTCCCGGAATTCCTCTTCTAAAATGAGGATACCAAATCCAGAACAGTTTTTGGTTATTAACTTATAAAACCTCAGTGCATAAATCTTTGTTATAAAATTGATAATATGATCATAAATGTCACCTCAAATGATACTTTAACAAAGGGCAATTCATTTCTTTATGTAGTCTTGAGAAAGTAAACTCGAACAAAACATGTACTACTCTTTTATTGAAACTCAATATAAGAAAAAACTACATGTGAAAAAGCTGTCATTTTGTTTGTAAAATTGTTGTCAGGGACACTGTGCACTCATTAAGCTCCCTAGCACAGTTTATCAAAGACAGCAGAAAAAGGTCTTTCTTATCTGATGAACCAGTGTTACTCTTTGTAATATACAGTGGGTTCATTCTGGTGTATGACTACGGGAAAGCCTAGAGCTGTTTTTGCTCATTGAGAGCAGCTTCCACTATCCTTGGTTTTCCAATACAGTCATTCCCCTCTTCTTCCTTCTTTTAGCATATACCCTTGCCTTTGATTCTTGTTTTCTAGTTTGGGATTTTATTGTAAAGAGCTTCAATTTATTTTCAGAAATTGGGTGTGGTGTAAGTTAACAATGATAACGATAATGCTATAAAACTCACATAAGGGGCTTTTAATTGAGCACATTGAATTAACAAGAAAGGAAATACCATTCATTACATTATTATATTTTCAAATGACATTTATGAATATTTATGAATATTTCTGCTACTTGGCTGTATACAGAACAACCTCCTTAACTGAGATTTAGCTGGGAGCGCACACATTTTCTCTACGGACAAATCCTGGATTGGCTTCGTTATTTGGTGGCCTGGCAACCTGTGGTGATAGGAATAGTTCAAGGCATTAACTATTCACTAGGGCTGGAATAGTACAGCAGACCCCAGAAGCAATATACTGTATGGTTGAAATCCTTGATCCTACATTTAATATTAATTTTTTTAATTTTAGAGATGATCCCAAATGTTTAGAAAACTAAGTAAACTTTGTTGTCAAGTAGTTTGTCTATGTGGAAAGAATTTAAAGAGAAGCTGAACAATGGAATAAACAAATAAAGCATGTTTTTTCATATTTCCAATTACAGCTGTTTCTTAACTCATGCATATGTCACATTTGTTACACTGCACTGTGGACATTCTACTTCCAGTTTGACTGATAACAGTATGTGTAACGTGTTTCAGAGGTTTGCAAAGTACTTCTCACATACAACATCGAGCCGTAGCTAATACTTTCTCATCAGATCAACATCTTTAAAGTAGGTAGAGTTGTTAAGTAATCTGTGGTTAAGGACATTGTGCTTGTCTTCTGCACCATGTGCTTGTTACCATGTGGCAGCTTCTGCACCACAGAGCTCTTCTGTAGAAAGTAGGTTACTCCTAAAGCCTCTGGCAGCAGGGGCCACACCTTCTCAATGGGCCACAGGTACTTTGGGTTTCCTGGAGCTGCCAAAAGTACTCAAACCCATGCAACAGCTGTACTAAAGAAGAAGAGTCACTTTTCTTTTGTTCCACTGTGCGTGTGCGTGTGCGTGTGCATGCACACACACAGGTGCACAGTCATTCCATTGTGGCACTCTGCTTCTATTTTCTTCATAGCACTTATCAATTCATGAAATCCTATCATAAATTTTATTGTCTTCTCCTCCATGAAGACAAGGAATTTTATCTGTGTTGTTCCCTACCATATCACCTACACTTTGAGCACTGCCTAGCACATAATAGGCACTCAAAAAATATTTGTTGAAAGAGTAAATTAATCTGGCAGAAAGGAACAAAATTAACTGAATGGAGAAGACCAGTCAGAAAGAATTAACCCATGAATGGTATGTTAGATTCTCAAAATTAATTTGTTTTAAATTACTGGTCATTTTTTAAACAGCCAACACTGCATACACATCTACGCTGCAATACTTGAAGCCATTACACTTGTATGAAGTAGAAAGGAAATACAATGATTATTTTCCTTGTTCAGATACTGGCACTGTACTCAATGCTATTCAAAGGTCCATCATTAAGATAACTCACACTACAATTTCTAACTGTTGAGAACTTTCCTCTTTCAAACTGCCCAATGCTTCAATATTATTGAAATAGGTCAGGGTCCATGGTCTCATTGTCTAAGGTGTTATTTGAACTTATTGTGTCATAACTGAGAAAATTAAGGAGCATGGACACAAAGGGTGAGGTTGGAGCAAAAGTTTAATAAGTGAAAGAAGAAAGCTCTCCACAGTGGAGAGGAGAGTCCAAGTGGGGTGCCATTTTACAGTCGAATGTAAAAGCTTTCATATAAGAAACTCCTCTCATCTCTGTAGCTGTTTGAGTAACTTCTCTTATTTGGAAACCTGTCTTCACAACTCCACCTGTCTATAAAGCTGTGAGATGTCTCTAGGTAAGCACAAAGCATAGCTTTTTTTCTCATTTGAATAACTGTGGGTTTGTTTTAGGTAAGCCCCCTCTGTTTGCAGTGCAATCTCCCATGGAGTCCCCCTTGTTCATGTCTGAGAGGGGAGGAAACATTTTCCTGGAAGCCTGCTAATCACACAAAGAAAAAAGGCTCCTATGCTGGACCTTGCCTGCTTATCTGTGCAGGTGCAGTCTCAGTTTTCCCCAGGCTGCTCTATTTTTGCCTGTAGCTGTGATTTTTCAGGCAGGCTGCTTCTCTGAAGACTAGCCTTAGCTGTCTACACAACTGATTTTTCATGTTCTCCTCTCTCATTATGATTGATTCAGCATCCAGATTATAGAATTATTAATTATTTCTCTTGCTCTCAAAACATTCCAATAATTCAACACTTATTATATAGTAGGCATGTCCAAGGGGTAGGAAGATAAAACAAGATTCTTGAGCTTGTAGTCTATTGACAAATAAAAGACTTTGGATTTGAATAAAGCACTAACAAAAAATTAGTTTCTCTTCTGTTAAACAAAAAAAGAACCCTTAAACTGATCTCTAATTTAGTTCCCATTTATCTTTTATGGATAGCCGCAATGGTAGCTTTTAGAACCATTTAGAACTCTGGGCAAATAAGCCAGTATTTATCTGAATGGGATTCACAATGACCCTCAGAGTTCAGGAATGTCAGATAATCACTAAATAGCCTCAGAAAAAAAAATGAAGATGCCATTTTCTTTATAAAGTTTAAGTATTTACAGTCTAATCCCAATTTCGTCAAGTAGTATGTATATATACACTGAAAAAAGATTGGAGAGTATTATGGCTAATACTAGGTGTCAACTTGATTGGACTGAAGGACGCCTGGATAGCTGGTATTGTTTCTAGTGTGTCTGTGAGGGTGTTGCCAGAGGAGATTAACATTTGAGTCAGTGGACTGGGAGAGGAAGACCCACCTTTAATGTGAATAGGCACCACATCACCTCAGGTGATCCTCCCAGCTCAGCCTCCCAAAGTGCTGGGATTACAGGCATGAGCCACCACGCCTGTCCTAAAGATTTTTTAAAGATTATTTTAAATCTATCAATTAACTATGAAGCTAGTTCAGGTGCTATTTTAAGTTCTTGAAATTAAATATAGATCAAGTCGATGTTAAATCCACCTTGTTCTCATAATTAACATGGTGCTTAATGTAGGAAACAGAGAAGTAAAGCAGAAAGTCCATTGCTGTGTTTGGTGTCTGTGGAATCTCCTCAAGGTTCCTTCTTCTAAACTTTTTTTTTTTTTTTTGAGACAGTGTCTTGCTCTTCACCTAGGCTGGAGTGCAGTGGTGCAATCACAGCTCACTGCAGCCTGGACCTCCTGGGCTCAGGTGATTCTCCCAACTCAGCCTCCTGAGTAGCTAGGACCAGAGGCACTTGCCACCATGCCCTGCTAATATTTTGTACTTTTTGGTAGAGACAGGGTTTTGCCATGTTTTCCACACTGGTCTCTGATTCCTGGGCTCAAGCAATCCTCCTGCCTCAGCCTCCCAAAGTGCTGGGATTACACTGGGCCTGATTTTTTTTTAGGCTGGCTACCGTTTCCTCCATAACACTCTTCTGGGAGGTTGCGTGACACAGAAGCAGCCCTGTGTGAGTTCCCCAAGGACAAGCTTGTTCTGCACTTAATGAGCATATTTCTTAGTGGTATTTTTCTGCAAACAGCAGGATCTCTTATATCCCTGCTAGTATCCATAACAGAAAAATATCCATTTACAAGCCATAATATATCAGGGAATGAAATCTCTTCTTGGAAAATAATAATAATAGCTAACATCTACTACAGACATCCCCCTCACCCCACACACGAACCCATGGTGCCCATTCTCTTAGGCGTGGTACGCTTGCCCTCCTCACCCCTCCAGAGAAAATGGGAATCAAGGAGCTTAGGCTCATGGTTTACTTACATTCCTACATTCCATACTCTCAGTACCTTAGGATATAGAGATCATCTTCCCTATTTTAAAGACAGAAAAACTTTTTAGGTCATGTCAAGTGACTTGCCAAAGATTACACATCTACTAACCCAGGTCTTTCTGACTCCAGTGCCCAATTAACCACATAAACCCAGTTCTGGTTGAGAATTGAGCAGGGGTCAAAGAAGGCTCACTTCCTTTCACGTGGTTCCCAGCTTAGAAGAAAGTTGCATAGAATCAGCAAATAGCTCTTACCAAAGAACGTTGCATCAAAATTTAATGTGTGGTATTATTATGCCTAGATTGCAAAATTAACATATGGTAATAGTATCTACCTTTAAATTATTGTGTATCAAACTATTTTTGAGCCACTATGAGGAACCTCTAGGTATATATTTGCTTAAAAATCTATTTAACTCACATGTACTTTTTAAAATATTCAGAAGGGGGAAAAGGGCAGGCCTTTTTAGAATTAAAAACCAGACTTTTCAAAGAAGGAAAAAGCAACAAGATGCTGGGGAAATAGACTAAAAAACAGGAACTGAGAGTCAGAGTGATTGGACAATAACTGGAACTCAAAAGATAGTTAGAGGCTGAGGAAGACCAGAGTCCAGATGTGGGAACTATCTTTCAAATTCTCCTAAACTGAGTATTTATTCTGTTAAATTACAGAAATACATAATTTACTGTACCTTGCGCTGTGTACTCACTCTCTCAAGTAACTATGGCTGGAGAAACCCATCAAATAGCCAGAAAGACAGATCCAGATCACATGAAAATACACCCTCTAGGTATTTCTCATCCTGTAAAGTTTAATAGGAAATATACAGCACTTTTCTCTAGGAATAGCAACAAGTTTGGGGGAGTGCCCCAGATACTTTGCCTTGTTGCTCTTGAGATCAGTTGCACAGAGAAGTGACAGCTGGGTGGGACAGAGAATGCCTTTTGTGACCACAGAGGAGTCTCTTAGCAGGAAGAAAGAATGACACAGTCATTGAGAATCTTAAATTCATTTGTGCTATTTCCTAATGAACTAAGCCAATTGCTACAGATTACAGTTGGCCCTCTATATCCATGGGTTCTGCATCCATGAAGTCAACCAACTGTGGATCAAAAGTATGTTTTAAAAAATTTGAAAATAAAAAATAACAATACAATAATAATACAAATAAAAAGACAGTACAACTATTTACATAGTATTTACATTGTATTGGGTATCATAAGTAATCTAGAGATTATTTAAAGTATACAGGAGAATGTAAATTGGTTATATGCAAATACTATGCCACTCTTATAAGGGACTTGATCATCTATGAATTTTGATATCCACGAGGATCCTGCAACCAATTCCCTTGGATACCAAGGGACTATATTCAGATATCAATAATAGACTTATGATCATGGTTATCTCATAGAAAAAACCAAAAACCAAAAACCAATTTTTAAATCTGGCATATGTTTACAAAACAGCACCCTATACAAAATTTGAAGTTTTGTAGTTTTAGTAAGGAAGTCCTCAAATGACGGTACATCCATGTAGTTTTTATATAATTATGTCTGAATGAACTTATCTACAACTAGTGATATAAAGATCCCAACTAGACAAAGACTGGCTTTAAATGTGGGAACCTAAGACTTTATCGCAGCTCTCAGATTTACCCAAAACCCTTCCTGCCGAGCCTCATCCATGGGCCACTCCAGGTAGGTCTTGGTGTTCATTATCTTCCG